CGCTGTCAGTACGCTTCTCCATGTTTGTGATTGGTCGAATGCTCCAGATACCACCCCTTTCATGTGAACGCGCACCTAACTAGATAGGGTGGCTTGAGCGATCCACTTGAGCGTCGTAGTACAGTTTAGCGAGAGCGCGTATGTTTTGGATTAGGCCAACCGGCTAACTCAAACATATCCAGGTTAGGTTGAACCAGCTTCGTAGTACAGGCCTCTGGTGTTCGAGCACAACGTTTACATTCTGTGTGAGTCATCAAAGAGTGCGTAGTCTATTAACCAAGAGGACTCACTCGTCTTCTGGGCTCTCGGTTCTCTTTGGGGGGTCCAGGTTTCTTCAGTCTGTCTACACACACACACACACACACACACACACACACACACACACACACACACACACACACACACACACACACACACACACACACACACACACACACACACACACACACACATTTGTGAAGTAAATTGTGAACTGTTAATAACACTGTGTGTGTGTGTGTGTGTGTGTGTGTGTGTGTGTGTGTGTGTGTGTGTGTGTGTGTGTGTGTGTGTGTGTACTACATGATGTACTGTGAGGATTATTGAGCCAATGTAAATGTCCCCTCTGTGGGACTAATACAGGTTCTGATTCTGATGAACCAGAGACACGTCTCCATTAATGGAATGGACACGAAAGTCCTCTGTTAGTCCTGATTCAGGTCCTGATTCAGGTCCTGGTTCAGATCCTGGTTCAGATCCTGATTCAGGTCCTGGTTCAGATCCTGGTTCAGGTCCTGATTCAGGTCCTGATTCAGGTCCTGAGGGTTCTGGTTCTCACCGGTCTGAGGGTGTCCCGCTCCCCGAGGACGAGCTGCTTTCTCCTGGACCTTTTGAACCAGAGGAGGGTCCTGGACCTTCTGGACGGAGATCCGGACAGAACCAGGTCTCTGCTCAGGGACCAGGACCCTGGTGGAGCGGATCAGAACCGCCCCGGGCTCTGAGCTGCAGGAGGACGACGGACTGGACCACATGCTGGTTCTGATCCGGGTTTAATGAGAGCTGAGAGTAGCTTTAATGAGAGCTGACTCATCTGAAGACACTGAGAGAATAAGAGTCTGAGAGACTTCAGAGCTACTGGAGATCATAACAATAACAGTCTGTTTACTTGTTTGTTTTATAACCTGTTGTTTATTCTAAGGAGTCCTTTAACCGTTAGCTTCCGTTAGCTCATTTCAAAGTTCCCGCTTCTTCAAGGACCGGAGATTTACCGGTTTAACCTCCACGAGAGAGAGAGGGGGAGAGAGAGGGGGGGTTACGGTTTATAAAATAACCGGTAAATGGATGAAATATCCCGGTGGAGAGAAGCTTCTGGAAATACAAATATAAACAAACGGTTTCTAACAACAAATCTCACTTCCGGTTTCCGCTGCTCATAAAAGATCGTAAAATGATTCAACAGGAGGGAGGTCTCACTCCACAGGGAAACCAGAACCCATCACCGCGTTCAGTGGAAACAGCGGATTGGAGAGAGAATACACTCTTAACAAAGAAATCAGTCAATTAAAGAGGGTTATCATTATGTTAACCACTCTGCTAATTGTTCGGCTATAACACAATAACAAGATGTCGTTTATATAAATGACTGTATTCTTAACGGAATGCTTTATTGTGACGCGCTTGATGCACTCCGGATGTTTCTCCAGCAGCGCACCGTTTGATTTTTAGATTCTGGGCTGCACTTTCAACAAATTGTTCTTCAATCTTTCTTTGAATAACTAAATAACTCTAATATTAATATAATATCTAAAGACGCTGATTGGCTGCCTCTCGATTTTGGTTTGTTGTGAATGATTTTGAATCCTTTCTTTAAAGTGAATCAATACAAACTGAGAGACAGAAAGGCGTGAAAGTGCGGCTGAGTGTCTCTCACGTCCTTCAGGAAGCGGCTCGTTGGTTGCAACAGAAACTCCGGTGAGATTAAAACCCTTTATTATCTGTATAACTCTTATAACTCTTATAACTCTCATTATATCTCTCATTATCACTGTTGTCCTCTAACCTCGAGAGGCAGTCGGACACTTTACAGAGAGACACATTCACAGATCTGAAGCGTTAGCATACAGCATGTAGCTCCTGCTGGAAAATAACAGATTATTAAACAGTATTTAAACAGCAGCTCAGTGATGATGCTAATCACACACACACACACACACACACACACACACACACACACACACACACACACACACACACACACACACACCCCGTTATAAATAATGATATTAATAATAAAGTCCTTTCTGTAATCTTTGTATTTCGTTGTTGTAACATTTTAAATGTACATTAAAAATATGCTCATTGATAAATAATAATATAAATGAATAACTCTTTATAATAAATGTGTTAAACATCCTACTTCTTTATTCTGTGAGCTTTAATCTGCTTTAAAGGGTTTGGTGTCTCAGTTTAATGGCTTTGGACATTTCAGTGTTTATTTCACAGATATAAACTGTCATTATCTGTAATTATAATAATGTTTTTATTTCTGTCCTCAGAGGATCTGAATAATGGCGGCGCAGACGGCAGAGTCCGACCAGATTAAACAGGTGAGCCCTCGCCTGATTGGTCCATCTCTAAAAGGAAGCACACCTGAATAAAAACCCGGGTTTTCTGTTGGTCACTGAAGATCAGGGGTAAACAGACTGACAGTGGGTTTTTAATACCTTACATGTCTCAGTTTAAGGGTTTTCTGTCTAAATGTAAGGGTTTTTGTGTCTCAGTTTAAGGAGTTTTTGGGGACGTACAACAAGGTGACGGAGAACTGCTTCATGGACTGCGTCAGAGACTTCACGACCAGGGAGGTGAAGCCAGAGGAGGTAAATATAAAAACATCGGTTATACTACAATAACCATGACCCTCTGCTGTTGGTGAGATGCACCCTGGGAGTTGTAGTGTATTTACAGTGTGTGTTGTGTTGCAGTCCAGCTGCTCAGAGTCCTGCCTGCAGAAGTACCTGAAGATGACTCAAAGGATCTCCATGCGCTTCCAGGAGTATCACATCCAGCAGAACGAGGCCCTCGCTGCTAAAGCTGGGCTGATGCCAGGAACCAGAATCTGAGCCACTTCCTGTCCCAGGGCATCATGGGAGATGTAGTGTTATCTTGTATTCTTTAATTTTGGTATTTGTTGAAATATTTTGTATTAAATATTATGAACCCGTTTTCTTTGTGTCTGGAAATAAAGACTAATATGTTGTAAACTGAAAATTCATCTTTAAGAGCCTTTTTCTCTCAAGATGGGTTAGGGTTAAACCTTTTATCTTTTTGATAACGAGCTCTTACATAACAGCTCATCAACTTGACATACACCTGGACATCAGAGGAGAGGACTCTTTAAAGTAGAGACACTACATACTGATACACACCTGAACATCAGCAGGAGAGGACTCTTTAAAGTAGAGACACTACATACTGATATACACCTGAACATCAGCAGGAGAGGACTCTTTAAAGTAGAGACACTACATACTGATATACACCTGAACATCAGCAGGAGAGGACTCTTTAAAGTAGAGACTACATACTGATATACACCTGAACATCAGCAGGAGAGGACTCTTTAAAGTAGAGAAACTACATACTGATATACACCTGAACATCAGCAGGAGAGGACTCTTTAAAGTAGAGAAACTACATACTGATATACACCTGAACATCAGCAGGAGAGGACTCTTTAAAGTAGAGACACTATATACTGATATACACCTGAACATCAGCAGGAGAGGACTCTTTAAAGTAGAGACACTACATACTGATATACACCTGAACATCAGCAGGAGAGGACTCTTTAAAGTAGAGACACTACATACTGATATACACCTGAACATCAGCAGGAGAGCACTCTTTAATGTAGAGACACTATATACTGATATACACCTGAACATCAGCAGGAGAGGACTCTTTAA